ACCCCCCAGGGGGGATGGTCACGCCGCAATCCCTTCTCCTCCATTCTCCTCTCAGGATCTTGGGCACGCACGCACACGCACCCGGCGTGAGTTTTAAGCCACCAGGTCCGGGACACGAACCGCGGTCGACTACGTGGGAGTCCAGTGACATAGCCACTACGCTAACTGCTGGTTCCCCAGATATATGGTTTTTTTGAAGGACCCAAATATTCTCAAATACTTTTGTAAAACACTGAGTTAAAGTTAATGGGATCTTATATAACATTTCCCACTAAAAGAAACCAGGACTCATTCAAGGAAATGGTTGATTCCAGGGTCTTGGAAGATACAAGATAAGCTCAGCATATCTGTGGCTGATAATAAGGAGGTGCTAACTTTTTTTTTTTTTTTTAAATAATGGGAATATAGCAGAATGACAGAAGAATCCTTTTGAAGGGTCTCCTGCTGAGAAAATCTGGGACAGTTTGAGAATCAACATAAATGATGTTAGTACTTCAGTGGAATATAATAATAGATTGAATAAGATAAAAGCAAAACAAAATGAGTCCATGTGGATATAAATAAATGAATGAGAAAACAAATAAACTATAGGGAAGAGAATGCTATTTCTTGTGTAAGAATGCTGTTAATGAAAAGAGGAAGAATGGTGGCATTAAGAAAACTATCAATAGTTATTAAGATTGTTAGTAAAAGTTAGATGAGGATATTTATGTAATCTCAAAATAACTCTCTACAAAGTGCTTTTTAATTACAGAAGGAAAATTAACTTTATAGCAGAGAAGCCTGTCATATATCTCCTCAATAAGTTATCAAGATAAATACTCTTGGCCCTGCTGTGATAATGCAAGTGGTGGGACATCCATGTGAGGCTAGAGCCACACGGGAGGCCCATGCTTGGTTCCTAAACAGGTCAGGCACGGTAGTGCACATCTGCAATCCTACCTAACTGGGAGGCCAGTGCAGGAGGCTCACAACTGGTGAGACCCTGTCAAAATACCTGCTTTCCCTCTCCTTATTTTTCACCCCCCCCATTAAAAAAGTTATAAACTCTCCAAATATTCAGATAAACTCACATCATGTGTTTCCTGATGCACCAAGAAGACACAGCTACTTTAGTAACCTGTGCAAAGTATGTTACCTGAATTTTATCATGAGAAACCATGAGACAGACCTCAGGTCTATGAAATAACTGTTATGCACAGTTCAGAATGTCAGCATATAGAGAGGCAAAGGCTGAGCCACTGTTCCAGGTGAAAGTGGAGGGTGAGAGGTTTAGGTATGAAGAGACAGTGACAGCCAAAGTTGAATCCTAGATTGGATTCTGGACTAAGAACCAAAGTTTGGCCTATAATGGGCTTTATTTGGGCACTTGCCAAGATACGAAAATGGGTTACGAATTAGAGAATAATATTATCTCAGTGTGAATTTGTTAATTTTAATAATTCTATTGATGAAGAGATTGTCCTTATACTTAGAAACTAGACTTCAGTATTCAATGGTAAAGGGACATGTCATCTCCCACTTACTCCCGAATGACTGAGAAAAAAAGATATCGTGCGTGTATGCGTACATACAGAGAGGGCAAATGAGGTCAAAACATAAATAACTGGTGCTACTGGGTAAAGGAAATATGGAACAGTTACTGGCTCTCTCTATTGCTGGATTTTCCATATATTTTCTCCAGCTTGTTTGCACCACATTTTTTTTCACTTAGATTCCCATTATTAGAAAGAATACACTGGGAAAACGCTAAAGAGAGGGCTGTGTGTATGACTTTTGAGAAAAATACAGAACGTTGATGAAAGCCACCCAAACACCTGCCAAAGATATTTTTGGAAAATAGATATCCAAACGGTGTCCAAATTTCTTGGAGCAACAAGCATCACCACCACAACACAGTGTTAAAGTCCAGTTCACTTAGCAAAAGCCCATCCACTGATTAATTCTCGTGTTTTCGATAGCTGCAAACTGTAATGCAATGCATAGACTGCACATTGATAGAAATACGTAGCAGGGAAAATTGGTATTTCAGATCTGTGCTGCTGTTCCCTGTATGAGACATTTTATTATCCAGATGGGTGGAGCCATGACTCAAACACATTTTCTAAAAATGCATTTCTTTACCAAGTTGTAAATGAAAATGCCCTTGAAGAAGTCTTAAAGTATTTTGTATCAGACACTATTCAGGTGATGCATTAAACGATGCCACCCCTGCTCCTGGGCTGAAGTATAAGAAAGCCTTCTGTGAATCTACTTCCTTTGAGGGCCTGAGTTTTAAAAGGAAAGTGAAGTAATTCTCTGAATATACTTACGTACAGGTTCTCTCTTGGGTTGATAGCCTTGTACCTAAAGCAATTGACTCAATACGAAACTGTTTTAATCTGCACCTCATTGAATGTATTTTCTTTTTCTCAGTGTAAATTCATGATGGCTAAAGCTGTCCAAACCTAAAGGCAACACATCTGTAAGAAACTACCAGTATCAGTGGGAATTCTTAGCCCTAAGGAAAACAATTCTGTTTAAGAAGAAAAAAAAAATGTGGGGCTAGGTGGTACCACAGTGGTAAAGGTGATTCCTCTACAAGACAGAGTCACATGGGAAGATTTTTGTTCACACCCAGAGGCCTCCCTGGGTCCCTGGGCATGTGTGTGGCCGTGATCCAGGTTTGGGGCTGAGGGTGGGTTGTGACTCCAGACTCTGTTGAGTTCTTGCCTCACTCACTCACTCACTCTCTCGAAGTAAACTTCTTTCAAAAAAAAAAAGACAAGAAAAGAAAGAAAAGTCTTTTTAAAATAAGATAAAAAAAATATTCTCCAAGAAAGTCTACCCATTCTTCTATTCATTTCTGTGTCTGAATTTTTCTGGGAAGTGTCTTAATTTGGGATACTTGGTTTTACCCTTCAGATTAAGAAATGCCACGATGTTACTAGCATCATACTAAATTCGGTCCCATCAGGACTCTCTTTACCTCTGTGTACTTTAGCTGGTCACTCTGATATAGCTTTTCCCACTGGGAATTTATTGCTTAGTGTCAAGTCTCCAAACTCCATCAGGGGTGTGGTGGTTCAGTCTACTACAGAAAATAGCATCGTGCCATTTGGAAAAAAATGGGGAAATAGAGGTCAGGAAAGATAGTGATTAGATGCAGGAGGTTTGATATCTATAAGGAGTTGGGTCATTCTAGAAGATTTAGTGGAATCACAGTCTTAGTAGAAATTTTAAGATGTCTGCCAGATGTTAACCTTAAAACATGATGATGGCAGCCATTTGTTGAGCGCTGATGAGGTCTAAATGTGTTGCTGTGTGCTGTCCACCTACACCAACTTGTTTGATCCACACAACCGCCCACCAAGTGGAAATACTTGACTTTATACATGAGGAAGCTGAGCTCAGAAAATAGCTTGTCTGGGGTCTCACAGGCAAGGAAATAAGAATCTAGAAGAGGAACTCGGAACTGTTCTTTTTATCATATACATAGCCCCTAAGGGGTGCTCTGCAGTCTGTTTTTGTTCTCTGAGTCTTTTCAAATTATCAAGGTGTGTTCAAGCATTAAGACTGTTTAATGAATTTAAGTTGATTTGTCTGTGATCTTCTTTGTTAATATGACACTCTGACCAAATGTTAGAGGAGATATTTAAGGTCGGCATAAGAGGACCTGGATTTTAGACCCTCTCTGAAGCACCACTTCTTTATAACTGAGTATGATAATTCTGTGCTATCTTTATAGGGGCAATTAAAGGACTGAGTGAAATAATGTATGGGATTGCTTTTTGCAAGCTATAATATGTAAAGCATTATTATTATCCTTATCATTCTATTTCTTTGTGAATTCACTGAAATATGCCCCTTGAGCTAATTCTTAAAGCTACTGAGATACCCCTTCAAATTCACATTAGTATAAGAGTTGTTACAAAAATGTACACTTAAGTGTTTCCAATTTTGATATGTGGACTGAATTTCACAGGCTTGTTTTTTACTTCAAGATATTTAACTTCATGGGGCTGGCAGGTGGTGTGGTGGTTACGGGAGCTGGACTCCCACATAGCCAACCACGGTTTGAGTCCTGGACCTGATGGCTTGCTCTCTCTTTCTCTCTCTCACTGTCAGTCTCTCGCTCACTCCCTCCCTCCCTCTCTGGTCAAATTAAAATGAAGTTAAACAAAATATTTTTTTTAAAAAAAGATATTTAACTCCATTAAAATTCTACTTATGGTGCCAGCAGATGGTATAGTGGTGAGGTCACTGGACTCCTACATGGTCAGCCATGGTTAAAGTCCTGGACCCAGTGGCTTAAAACTCATGTCAGGCACATGTGTGTGCATGCCTAAGATCCTAGGAGGAGAATGGAGGAGAAGGGATTGTAGAAATCATCCCCCTGGGGGATGGTTTCTCACTTTCTGTCTCTCTGGCAAGAGTCCATGCCCTATAGCAAAAAAAAAAAAAAAAAAAAAAATCTCTCTCTCAAAAAAAAAATCTACTTATGGGTGCAGCTTAGTGGCATTGTAAAAATATGCTGCTCAAGTGATGCTAGATCCATATGGAGGTTTGCTGGTTCATTTCCCAGTTTAGCCTGTATGCACTTGTGATTCTGGCTGGCTGGGGGGTCTGGGGGGTAGGGATCCTGGGGTGAGGCCTTGTGCAGGGTACTTAAATTTCTGTTTCTATCATGAAACAAATAAGTAAACTTAAAAAAAATTGCACTTTTTCATCTTGTGCTGTGCTTTAGGTAATAAGACATTGGTGTTATTTATTCAGAGTACCATAAAAGCAATGTATCAATAGTTTCATGAGAAGATGTGATGTACTCTCAAGTATGCAGGGATAAAATAGCAGGATGGCTGGGGTTTGCTCTGAAATACTTTTAAAAAGGGGAATTATGGTTAGATGAGTAAATTTGGCAAAATTTTAGGAAATAAGGAATGTGGGCTCATTGTACTATTCTTTCTACTTTTATGTAAATTTGAAAATTGTCCTAATATGTCTTAATTGTTCCTTTACAGATGCAGATTTTCTTTTACAATCCAGATGACTTTGACAGCTTTCAAACCGCAATTTCTGAAAACAGAATAATTGGAGCCATGGCCATATTTTTTCAAGTAAGTTCACAGTGGCTACAGTACTTCAACCAGCGTTCCTTGAGTATTTTTTTTAACTCGCTGAATTGTTCCATGTTTAATGAATGCATCTGTTTTCTAGTTCACACCTGTCTAAATGAAAGATATTTCATATTGTCTAATGTGTGATTTAAAATGTAAATAAGTATGTTTAGAAACATAATGAAAATTTTTGCATGAATTATTCTGATTTTATTGCTACTTGACTGGTGCACAGATTGAAGAACACATTTATCATCTAAGTTACTTTGCTGCTGAAGCGTTTTGAACAGGTTCCTTCAGCATATTAAAAGGCTGAAGTCAAAAAGGAAAAAAAAAAAAAGGTGGTTTTCTTTGGAGCAACTTTAAAATTTGACATCACTTACAAGTAGATTAATAAATAGCATCAGTCATCTCCTGAAAGAGACCCTTTTTCATTCCCTCCCAGACATCCCCATGGAAACTAAAGTTTTTATTGAGACTATTTTCATGATAGTATATTTATGAACTCCTGTCCCTTTTCTCTTTAAATGCGATTATGTTGATGAATGTTTATAGCTCAAGTGTTGATTCTACACAGGGAAGTCAGACATCGCATCCTTCTTTTTTTTTAAAGTAACTTTTTTAAAAGAATTATTTAATTTAATTTTATTCATTGTCATTATTTTATTTTATTGAAGTTGACCAGAGAGAGACAGAAAGAGAGAAGGAAAGTGGGAAAGCAAGCTGCCAGATCTGGGACTTGAACTGTGGTCAGCCATGTGGGAGTTCTGCTGTCCCAACTACCAGGCCACCTGCTGGCCCCTGGAGGTCACATCCTTGTATAGATAATGCTGTCCAGGCTTTTCAATAAAGCGAATCAAGTTATAGCAGTGTTCATCAGTGAATTCTTTCACCAGATTGTCCATAGGAGATAGTGCAGGAACTAGGGGAACAGGCATACGATTATCTTTAAGCCTTAACATTTGCTGAAGGACTATACCCAGGTGTTTGTTTTACCAATTTGAAAAGTGGTCTCTTTGTAATAACTCAAAGGAACATTAAAGATATCAGAAACTGCTCCGATGTAGGTCTTTAACATCTGCCTTCTGCTTTTTCATGGAGGTAAAGCCATTCTTGTCTGGAGTATGTTAATTTTACTGCCCTTTTTAGTGAGTACACAGAACCGGAAGTTCCTTCTGTTGCTTATCTCTCCCTCTTAAATAATATTGTTCCTTTTCTTTACTGGATAAAGCTCAAAGGGCAGATTACATGTGAAAATGGAAAAACTGTATAGTCTGCCCAATTTCAGAAACTGTCCTAAGCCTGAGTTGTGGCCCTGGTTTTCACATAGTCGGTTCTGACCCACTAGTGCATCATGAAACCATTTCAGTGAGTCTGGCTCAATATTTTCTAAATAAGAAAACTGAGAAATACAGAATAGAGGGGAAGTTGATCAGAGGGTATCACATATGGTAAGGGTAAGTAGAATTGCAGAACTTTTTTAGTAGTTTATATACAGTGATGCATCCGGAGTATGGCCTGGGTCTTGATATACAGGGAATGTCTAATACTTACTGGGAGTCCTGGCCAGATACTGTGGAAGTCATCTGTTTAGGTCCTGAACTGGTTCGATCTCCCCATAGTTCTGCAATATGCCATGATTGGCCTGCCTTCGCAATACTGGGGCTATATAAATTACTCTTAAACAATTTCCACTTACCTAGTTAAAATCTTTTTCTGTCATTGCCTTTCAGTACGCTGCTTCTCAACCAGCTGGCCTCTATTCCTGTAGCTCAGCTATCAATCTACCTTTGCCTTCTTCACTGTCTTGACTACTCATGCCTAGATCAACCAGTTCCCAATGACAAGTCACCTTTCTCATAGGAAAATACAACTTTAAAATTTTCTTTCTTTCTTTCTTCCTTTCAAGGTTTTTGCCATAGGGTGCACACACTTGCCCAAAAGAGGCAGAGATAGGGCGAGTGAGAAATCACCCCCTTGGGGAATGGCCACACCACTGTCCCTTCTCCTCCATTCTCCTTTCTGGGGTATGAACACAGATACACCCAGTGTGAATTTCAAGCTGCCATGTCTTGGGACTTGAACTGTGGTCAGCTGTGTGGGAGCCCAGTGCCCTACCACCACATCACCTACTGGTCTCTTAAATGTTCTTAAGAGTCCTAGAAGGACTAGTTCACAGTGTACTCTACCCAGATACTTTCTATTTTTCCAGCTCCATAAACTCTTACTAAATAGAAGATCAGTTAGAGTCTTAAGCAGGCAAGATGCCTTGTGTGCTAACCAGCAAAATCCTTCACTATGAGATCTAGGTTTTTGGGAGCCAGCAAATGGCATGGTGGCTGTGGTGCTAGACTCCCACATGGCCAACTCGCATGCAGGGTGCATGCATGTGTGCCCAGAATCCTAGGAGGAGAAAGGAGGAGAGGGACCGCAGTGTGGCCATCCCTAAAAAGTAACTGCTCACTTTCTCTCTCACTGTCTCTGTCTCTCTGATGAGTGCACATACCATATGGCAAAAACCTTAAAAAAAAAATCTAGGTTTTTATTTCTTTTCATTATTTTTAAGGGCATAACTACTGATTCACGTAGGAAGAAATTTGTGTTTCATTAGTTAGGTTCTTTTCTAAATTTTGGCTTGCTTATCCTGTAGACATAAAATAGAGGGCTGATAATAAAAAAATACAGGTTTATTTAGGTAGCAGCTGTGTTGACCTGCATCCTTTGTCTTCCATGTAAGTCCATATGTGTGTTTATACATTTGAGTCCTCACTGTGTCCTGAAATGGAGGGGAAAAATATTATTGTTATTTTAATTTGACAATCTAGTTAGATCCTATATTTTGAGATCTTTGTATTTTGAATGTTCCTAACAAGAATGATAAATGTTTAAGACTTTGGTATTTCTCCCCAAAAGGGTCAGAGAAAATTGGATATATGTTGGGTTGTCAGGAAAATCATGGCACATTTTTGTGGAAAACTACGTCATGACTTTCCCAACAACCCAATAGTTACAAATTCAAGCCTATCTTCTTACATTCTGGTACTGAAAAACTATTATCTATTCACTGATTCTGTGCCAGGAATGGCATTAGTTGCTAATATCATAAACATAATTGTCTCATCCACTTTGGTCTCACTGTCACAATCCCATGTGATGTTCGGTAAGCAGTGAACAAAGAAACTGCATTTACACAAAGGCTGCAGTCTGACTTGGTGCTCATAAACCCACGTATTCATATCCAGAGTGACATGGTGTGCATGAGCCCTGAGTGCATGTCTCTGCAAAGCTAAGTTTGTGTGGGTTTTGGTTGTCTTTCTCTATACACTAGAAATTTTTTTTTTTTTTTTTTTTTTAGATTTTTTTCTATAGGGCACATGTACTTGCTGGAGAGAGACAGGAAGTGAGAAATTACCCTTCACCTCCGTTCTCCTCCCGGGACCTTGGGCACACATGTGCCCAGCATGATTTTTGAAGCCACCGAGTCTGAACTCAAACCACAGTCAGCCATGTGGGAGTCCAGTGACATAACCACTATCCCATTTGCTGGTCCCTAGAATGAGTTTCTTATATTTAAAATTTTTTTACTCTCTCTTGCTTTTCTTCCTCAAAAGGTGTCTATTATTCTGGGTAATTGTGGCTCTTTCTCTGCTCTTGCTCTGATGTATGATAAAGTTCATAATGTTGCGAGAACACCCAGAGATATAAACCTGGACGGTGCACGTGATTGACCAAGGAACAATATGTTGGCCTAGATTGGAGGTTGCCTGCGTATAGTCCTTTGTGGTTCACAAGCATGATTTGTTGAACCTACACAGTGTTTATAGTTCTTTCTTAAATATGGAAAGTTTTACGTCTTGGGGATGTAGCAGTCATCGGGATCTTTGCAGTGGCTGGCTGTGTACTTCGGAGACTGTATGCATTCCTGTTGGAACAGTGTTTCCAGAGCAATCGTAGTGTATGGGGTTTTTTGGTTTGTTTGTTTTTAATCTTTTTTAGAGAGGTTTTTGCTGTAGGGCACATGTGCTTGCCAGGGACACAGAGAGAGAGACAGGAAGAGAGAAAACATCCCCCAGGAGGGATGCCATGTCTCAATCCCTTCTATTCCATTCTCCTCCTGGGATCTTGGGCACGCATATGCATGTGCCCGGAGTGAGTCTCAAGCTACAAGGTCCGGGACTCAAACTGCAGTTGGTCATGTGGGAGTCCAGTGACGTAACCACTACACCATCTGCTGGCCCCCATATATTCATGTTAACATGGTCCTAAGATCATATAGCCTGGCATGTACTATTGAATAGCTGCTTCCATCGTTTGGTAACAGAGTTGAGGATCATTCTCAGGAAAGGTGGTAAGTAGAGTGGCACTTTGTGCAAACACAGGGGAAGGGAGGAAGGACTTTCTTCATGAGTGGAATGTAGCACATCTTGATAGTCATATACAATTGTGCAGATTCTAGCCACACAGCTGTAGGAGCTGCACTCACTTCATAACCACTAAGTATTTATTACAATTTTCCAACACATGGTAGTAATGTGACTACAGGAAGAATCACCCTTTTTATTCCCCCTGGTTTCTCACAAATTGCTGGTGAACTAGCAGCCCACTGGAAGGTGTGGGTCTAGGTAAGAGTGAATTTGGATTTTAAAGGATTGTTTAAATAAATGAGTTTTACATTAAAAAAATTAATTAAAAATAGAGGAAATTTTGGTTAAACCACTTAAGAGAATAAATACTAATTTATCTAAGCACAAACATTAAAATCATTGATTTCCATTTGTTAAAGTAATACCTCTGCTATTCTCTACTGTTAAGTGACTTGAATGGCTGTAAAAATGTAAAATACCAAGTTATTTAAATTTTCTTTAAAAATATTTCATTGTTCTTATAACACCCTACATGTTATTTGCTTAAACAAATAGAAGTATGAAAACCCAGGTTTACATGAAATGGAATCAGTGGAATAATTAGCCAATTTGTGGAAGATACTTTTGTTTTTAAAT